TATATATATATATAGAGAGAGAGAGAGAGAGAGAGAGAGTGCGAGAGAGAGATTTGATTAAGAGAGATATGTACGCCTGTCAGAATTAAAAAAGCGTAACGACTCACGCCCACGTATTAAATTCGTAAAATTAGACGTTATCTCCCTAGCCGAGCGAGCAGCCGGTCGCAATGGAACGAGATGGAATAGCAATGGGAAAAATATTCTGGGAACAGGTGATAGCATCCGGGTAAATTAAATGCTGTGTCCGGCAAAACTTACTGAGCGGCTAATTACGGAGCACGCAAACCGCAGGTGGAAAAACTTAAAATCGCCCTTGCTTTGAAGAGTTGTCCGGATCTCTTATGTTTTTTTGCCTCCGGTCATAACTAATAGGACCAACGAGGAAAAAACCTGTTAAACCAAAATGACTAACACAATTATACCGAATGCACGATGCACGAATAGAATAGTGTGAAAGTTCCATATAAATAGCGCCTATATTTTGAAATATACACATGTACGAATTAATAATTTAGCAAATGTTTGAGGAAGAGAGAAATAAATACATAGTACTTAGGTAGGTAGATTAATAGATACATTAAGAGAGTGAGAAAGAGAGGGGGGAGGGAGGGAGAGAGACGGAGAGAGAGAGAGAGTGAGAGTGAGAGAGAGAGTGAGAGAGAGTAAGAGAGAGAGAGAGAGAGAGAGAGTGAGAGAGAGAAATTAGAAGAAAATGATAGATAAATTGGAAGAAAGAGAATTAGAAAAATAGAAATGGATAGAAAAATAAAAAGTAGTGAGAAGGAACAAGAGATAAATTTTAAAAAAAGAGAAAGACATAAAACAAATTAAGATCTTAAATTATGAGATTATGATGGAAATATATAATCATGTAAAGTGAGTTGGCATCATGGAAATTTCTATCCCTGAACGTATAAAGAGAAAAAATGACTGATGGGAGAGAGAAAAGAAGGAAGGAATGGAGGGACAGAAATGGAGAGAGAGCGAGAGAGAGAGAGAGGGACAGAGAGAGAGAGAAAGAGAGAGAGAGAGAGAGAGAGAGCGAGAGAGAGAGAGAGCGAGAGAGAGGGAGAGGGAGTGAGAGGGAGAGGGAGAGGGAGAGAGAAGCAAAATAGTGAGAGGAGCGAGATAGTCAGATGAACAGAAAGTGACATAGTGAGAAAGTGAGAGACAAAGTGAATAAGAAAGTGAGTGAGGGCCAGAAGATTGTGATAAGCACTTAGAATGAAGAAAAAATAGCGATAAAAAGATGAAGAAAGAGGAAAGATAGAGGTAGATTGATAGACAGATAGACTGAAAGTTGTTAGAGAATGATAAAGAACTGCTGATAGCCAATTATAAAGAAAGGGAGAGTAAATGGAAGATACAGAATGAAAAAGAAGAAAAGCAAAAAATTTAGAGATAAGAGAGAGAGAGAGAGAGAGACTTATTAATGATAGTAATATAACTAGATATATACTATGAAATACTATGAAAAATGTAAAAAGTAGTATTACATCCTATTAACCACACGTTGAAGTTTACGAAATTATTTTTGGCAAATATTGTGGATAATCAAGTTTTCATCGATGCACAACGCATCGTGTTTAAGCACCTATAGCACAAAAATTAAGTTCCTGCAATGTAGAATGTTCAATTAATATGTTATAAATACTGAAACTGTCATTGACCAGACAAAAACCCTAAAGTGTATTTTGCACTTGGCAGAATTACAGTTGCATATCAAATGTTGATGAATAATAAATTATCATATTTATGAATCCGTTTATATGAGATGAGCCAACTAATATTTGCCTAATCTTCGGTCAGGCCGGAAATGTGTTTACGGTATACCGATAAATCCCTTTACCGGAGTCCCGAAAGTAATTACGGATCGAGAGGGGGATGACGTAAGAAGATTTGAATAATCGCATCGGATTGTTTTTAAAGGAAGTCCATCTTGTGACACAATGCCACCTGGATTCAACCATTTGCATACGACATCATTATCTGTTGGCTCAATGATTTGGAGTAATTGATTACATTACCATTGATCCTTTGGCTCTTCTTAATCTGTTATTAGAAGGAAAGCAAAGGCCACACGGTATTCCAGAGGTGTGAGTACTATTAAGTCGCTTATTAACATATCAACACCTTTAATTTGATGCGACCGGCCTCGCCAGACAATGGACTACTTGAGATGCACATATTTTGATTTTCCAATTTGGATCGTTTCGGTCTTTCGGATGGATTTTCATTCTTGATTGTTAAAAGGACCGTTAGCAGCCATTATTCAGTTTTGAGCTTAAATACGTCGATCACAGATCGACTTTTCCGATTTTTAATTTAGAGTTGAAATATATTTTAATGATTTAAAGATTTATTTTTATTCATTTACTGAAATGTGAAGAAAAATTGTTCGCAACCTTCCCGGTCTTTCTTGCTTAATAATAATTATGTGGACTTTCACCCTGACGAGTTTTCAGTTCCCGAGTTGCTGACACTATGATTACACCTCCGGGGAATTCACTTACCCGGTTAGGCGCTAGTTTCCCCTTTGAGCCACATGCTCACGAGATTGTGACTAACGGATAGCTTTCGATAGCTAGGTCATTTCAACCCCTAACGTAACCTAACATAATTTGTCCTAATACAATCGCACAAATAAATACAATCACACCTATGCACATTGCACTCATTCAGATTAGTCGGTGGAGTACTCGATGTTCCTCCATCGACCAATAATAATTATTCCTTTCCTGCAATTTGGCCCGCTCTATAGGCGGTGCGGGTGAAGTCTCTGCCTACCTATGTATCGACTTTCTGAGCGCTGTTTAGACTTTCGAGATAGGTACCCTGTGAACCCCGTCGTCGTGCTCTTGCTAGAAAATTCGCCGAATTGGAGTGCCTAGGAATACGATGATTACTGTCTGGATTCCAGGACACGTCGGCCTAAAGAGCTTACCACTAGATCCCCCCCCCCCCGAGAGCCTGAGCCGGACACGAGGTATCGTCTCTATTTGATTAAGAATGGTCCTACGAAGTTGACACCTCGACCAGAGCCCGCGTTGCTTTTGTGCCCCAGAAGATTTTCATGCCTTGGCTCCTTACAGATAGCGTATAGGCGTGCTACCGAATTTAAGAATGGCTCTCGTACCCGGTTTTGAGTTCCTGGACCCCTCTTCCGCTTTTTGGAATAAGTGTTTTTTTTTAATATTTGTACGGTATACGTATGTTTTATGTGTTTTTTTTTTGAGTGCGTATATTTAGTGTGAGTGGTGAGGAGTGATGGTGAAATATAGCTTTACCATCGCTCCTCCAGCAGTGTGTGTGTATTCAATGGCGGAATATTTGTAAAAGTATTGATCGACCCCAATTTATAAAATATTTATTACCGTGTGTAGGTCGATGGAGGAATATGAGTTCTCCACCGACCAACCCGAATAAACAATGTACAATTTATATATGCGACGTATTATGGAATTTAGTTAGGTTTGGACCAGATTGTAGTTTGCGTACGTTGGGTGGCTGAAAGGGCCTAGTTAAGGACAGCCTCCTTGGATCATAACCCTGTTTGTTAGGAAGAGACGATCACTGGTTATATGGCTTAAGTGGGATACTTGCGACCAAGCCACGTAACAGGGTAGGTGCACTCCCGTGAGTATAGACCCAAGGGTCGATAACACCGAATAGTACACTCTCATTGGGGTGAAAGTTCAGTGTATGATAATAATTATTTATATAAAAAATAAAATAAAAACGCACTAAATATTATTCCTTTAGATATTAGATATTATAAATTATAAAAAATAATATAATATTAGATCCTGCTCAACTTTTCTTCACTGGAGAAGAAAATGGATAAAAATGGAAGAAGTAGGATTGACTGTTTTCTCCTTTCGTCTGAACAACCATGTTCTCGTTGAAAACCCATTGTCACTCCTTATCTGCCAGATTCTTGTACGTCTTAGGGCGAGGGGTAATTAAGTAATTAAGGGCAAAGAGAGCGTGGGCCGTTATAAGTCATTAACCCGTGCTACCTGAAATCCCTTTTTCTTCAACCGAACATTTGAAGATAATGTTCAAGATAATGAATATAATGAATAATAAGAGCTAATAAGGATTTACTTTTATTTTGTTGTATCCTAACAATGACAAGTTATGTAGTTCGTACGAATTAAACGAGAAAAAAATATATTTGCACAATTAGAAACCATAAAAGACCCGTTACTTATAAGTTGGCAGATCTCTGAAAAATAAGTTTTCAAAAGAGATTTAATTGGGCAGAAAGGTTTTTCTCTCCTGCGTTCAATGGGAGGAAAACTGCGGGTTTGTCAGAGCGATTTTCTTTGAAAGGAAGTCGGAATTTCGTTTCCAACGTCCGAACCCCCATGGGGTATACTAATGAAATCGAAATTAAATTCAATTGTGGGGTGCCGGCCGGGGGTGGAATTACAGGCAATGGGGATGATTGGTCTTTGCCGGAAGTCACAATGGGAAAAGGAAATTTTAAAATTGCTTCTCCGCCTCCGAACCGTGAGGGGACAAACGTTAATAATCCGTTTTGGGGGATGAGACGACGACAAAGCTGTATCTGCATACGGAAGATGAGTCACTCGGCAGTTGGTTCATTTCCGATTTACAGTCACAACCGCACTTCAAATAGATTAACCACATAAAAAAATATATTAATTTTATTAATAAATTGAAAAAAAAATCTTCTAACTAAACCATAACTTTGCAATATTTACACGAAAATTATTATATTTTTTTAAATTTGATAGAATTGAAATTAAAAAACAAAACATTTCTCATTGTTTTAGGTACCTTTCAAAGCTCTTAAATTTAGTTACCAAACAAAAAATAGGAATTTTTCGGTTAGATTAGCAAGATCGAATATTTTTTCGACATCATAAATATTTTGGATTTTATTCTAATTCGATCTTTCTTCTACCATTTAAAAAACAATTTTCTCTTTCTTTAGACTATAATGATTTAGACAATAATGTAAAGAATTTATTAGAAAAATTAGGATAAATTCAACAAAATTTGTTTAAACGTTTATTATCTGTGGTTGTAATTTATTTTATTTTATTATATTATTATTTTTTTGGTTTGCCGATATTTATAACGTAGGTATTCCCCATGTCCTGTCGAACAGAAAAATTGTTTCAAATCAGTACTGATTTTTCTATTTTATAAAAATTGGAAGGCGTAAATTTTGGGGGAAAAAGTTGCCAGAAAATAATACAAACTGTATTGTCCTAAATTGATAATTGTCAGTGATATTTTTCTTCAAATAAATTTATTTTTTAAACCTTATACTTTATTATCCATAGATATAGATAACCACTATCTCATTAAAATATTTATTATTATGTATTTTACATGAGTGCTGTATGCTCCCCCTCTTCACATGTTTTAAATTAAAAAGTGCCCAGTTTGTTATGAAAAATTAGAAATCGTGGTTCGTTTTGGTGGCACAAACGAATATCAACTAAGTTTCTTGCCAAAAAAATATTTGGTTACACCATGCTGAGAACACCCACAATTGCAAAAACATTAAATTCCTCAGACAATGGATTAGGAAGACGTCTTCAGTTCATGGTATTGTATTCCACATATTGCTTTAAGATACGAATTCTTATATCAATCAAAAATAGATATTTCAGCTCGATTCGCCAGAGGCAATTTTTTTCCACAGATGTCCAATGTTCCACTCAAAAATTTATAAATCCTCTTGATCCAAATTGAACTTTTTTTACACCCATTAGAAAGTGAAATGCTTCTTTTCTCTATTATGCCAATAAAATTAAGATTTTTATCTATTATAATTGAGAAAAGTAAGGTTGAAGTGTGTGAAACATTCTAAAATGTTTTTTTAATTCAATTTAAGGTGACCAAATTTGAATATAATACTGATAGTTTTATGCAAATAGTGTGTGTTGAGAGTGAATGTGTTTATTGGCGTGAATGTATAGGAGGGCTGATGGTGGAATGTTGAGTACCCATGGGCCATCAATTAAGTTAATTTCATCAATAAATTTAAAGGGTGATAGAAGTATATCGAGTACTCCACTATCCTAATTGAGCGAATGGTATGTAAATAAGAAAGGGTGAATTTAAGAATGAGTGAGATGGTGGAGTTATGATGTGATTGCACTGTGTTTGATATGACCTATCTGTTGACAGGACTCGGAGCCCAACTTAGGTGGCGGGACAGTGAAGACCGAGCTATGACCCCGGACAGCCAAAACCCAAGGTAGGTGGTTTATTGTAAATTACAAAAGCTGAAATTGCCGGTAGACTGCGGGAATAGGCAAAAATCTGTACGTGTGTATGTATATCTTCACAGTTTAGTCTTCATGTATGGGTTTTTATGTATTTTATTAAATTTGTTCCCTACAACTGCAACTCTTGCTGAATTTGAATTTGATTGCTGCGTTTTTCTCTTTATTTAAAAATATTTACGTTTAATTTACTATTTAGAAAATTAATTAGTCGATCATATATATTTGATAAGGGTTTTGGGATAAGAAAAAAGAAAAAATCGTCAATTTTGATGACGTGGTATTTTTCATTGGAAATTAACCTGCAATTAAAAACCGTAAAGAATCTAAAAACAGTAACGGGCCATAATTTGTCGAAACGGTGAACAAAGCCTAAAAAAATATAAAAAAACAACGCCTAAAAATAAATTTTTACTAAACCGTAACAGGTAATTAAAATTAGAAAATCTTAATGTATGCAAATTGGCCGAGGTTTATGGAAGGTCCGAGGCGGGTTTTTACACTCTAATCTATAATTTGCATAAAAACTTCATAAATATAAATTTATTTTCTCGAGAGCGAAACAACATAATTTTACAACGCCCTTTCGTGTCTCATATAATAATTACACACCTTGCGACAAGGCTTTCCGCACTTGTACGTACTGTTTGTTGAAGACGGTCGAAGAAACAAAAATTGAATTAAAGCCATCGAGGGGTAGTTTTATTTTAACAAAGTGGCGAAGAAAATAACCAATTATGTCCTTACAACTCCTCGGGGCATATAATACAATAAAAAGATGAGGACTTTTACTGTTGGCGGGTAATCCGAGCCTCTCACCCCTCCGACGTCTCGATCCATTTTAAAAAGCTGTATGTTTTATATGAGCAAGACAAACAGGAATCGCAGGGGTGCTGTACAATTGGGGATGAAGCGACTCTCTTTATGCATAATATATGGCGCTAAGGGAAATGCAGGCTTATGCAAATCTAACGGTGAATAAAGAGTGAGACAGAGGGCCCATCTTGCCTTCTCCCACGCTCCCTCAGACCAGTGTTTACTTAGCCATGGCCGTACATCTATATATCAACATGTTAACAACATGTTAAAAACGCCAAATCTACAGATTTAAATATAAATTTGGGTAATTCTTAAGTCGAACTTCTCATTGAAAAGTACGACGCACGAGACAGTGGCAAATTGAAGTTATTTTATTAAAAATAAATTTCATTGTTTAGACACCTGTAATAATAAAATATTTTTTTAAAAATAAAATCAAAATATTTTAAGTTAAAAATTTTAATAATTAAAAACGTTGGATATTATTTTATAATCATTATCATGGTATAATCTTTTAATGCCTTATTTTTATTAAATTAAACACTACATGCTTAATTAACAATTTCATTGATGGAAATATGTAATGGCTTTGTCTCTCCGATAAAATTTTATGTTTTTCAAGAGGAATCATGACTACATTTTTTTATGTAGAATGAATTAAAATAGAGTGTGAGGGTGGATAACAGACGGAGAGAAATTGAAAATATTTTTAAAAGGGTAGACAATAAAACATATTGATATTCGGAAACACATAGAAAAATAAGCGAGTAAGAAAGGAGAAACAGTGTAAAAACGAGGGTGAACGATAGTAAAAAAATAAAAGATAAAGGAAAAAAGGAAAGAGAGAGAGAGAGAGAGAGAGAGAGAGAGAGAGAGAGAGAGAGAGAGAGAGAGAGAGAGANTATTACAATTAATTAAGGTTTTTAGTTGAGATAAAAAAGTCAATGGCACGAGCGGGATTTCAGAATTTCAAAAGGTGCGGTTGAGATGGGAAGTTGGTGTCCGAGGTGATCGAGGTCACGATAGCTCAAGTGGTAGAGCAGCGGCGTATCAAGCCGAAGATCGTGGGTTCGTATCCTGCTCGTGCCATTGACTTTTTCATATATATATATGCAATCAATTTATGCCTAATATCTCCGTAATATTCAGAAAAAATATAAGTGAAAGTTGCATGGTGGAGCAATGGTCGCATTATAATAAATAAAAAAAATATTGTAATTATAGTGTCCGGCTGATTACAGACAATTACGTCTTAAATTAAAACATTAATAAAATGTTTTAGATCAAATTGAAAAAGTGATTTAAAACATAGGAAAGTAAATATTTTTATTAAAATGATTTAAAAAAATTAAAATGGTGAAAAAAACCCGTTGCAAAGTAGCATTGGGGAATTGACTGTACACCGTAAACACAGAAACGAGAATATTTATCAAATGATTTACATACAGTCATAAATATTACGATTATATAACGGTAAATAGGTTTATAAAGATCACTATTGAAAAAAGCTTACTAAGTATGCAGTGAAAGAGGATTTATTGTCAAGAAAGTTAAAATTATTTGTTTGTCGCCTAAGGTTATTCCGTTTCATTAAAAAAAAAAAAAATGGACAATATATGATTGATATTGATTTATATACATTATTGATTATATACACTTCTCAAAGTCGGACGGTTAAAAATTTAAAAAAAAATCAAGCTTTTGCGTTTTATCACAGCCATCTCGGCAATTAATCGTTGAATTGATGGTCCGTGAGAATAGCCGAGGCGTGAGAATTTGGGCCGTAGGTGGTATCGGCTACCAGCAGCTGGTACGGGGGCATCACCGGATTAAGGAAGGGTTGTAAACGGATCTGTGACGAGCATGCAAATCTAAGGATTAGAACGGATGCCTATTCCCTTCTTAAGTTCTTATCACTGCCTGAATCACTCCGTGGTTATATTATTATTTGATACGACGTTAATCGTTATAATGTGCAAGAGGTGTGAGTAAAGAGTAGTGAGAAGGAAAAGAAGAGAAATAAACAAAAAAACAAATATACAATACAACGATCGCAAGATTTTAAATTGTGAGATGAAAATGAAAATGGAGATAGAATAAAATAGAAAAATTGGTAGAAATAGGTATATAAAAATGAAACAGCGATAGCGGTATTGTTAGAGAGAGAGAGATAATGAGAGAGAGAGAGTGAGAGAGTGAGAGAGNAAGATTTTAAATTGTGAGATGAAAATGAAAATGGAGATAGAATAAAATAGAAAAATTGGTAGAAATAGGTATATAAAAATGAAACAGCGATAGCGGTATTGTTTGAGAGAGAGAGAGAGAGAGAGAGGGAGAGAGAGAGAGAGAGAGAGAGAGAGAGTGAGAGAGAGACCGACCCAAAAACTAACCACTGTAAATAATTGTCCGTTGCTGGCTTCCTAGTTTTCACAAATACGCTTCAATTTTGTATAAACTTCTTTTAAGAAATAGTCGGTAGGTCTATTTCATTGCTACAACCTATAATGATCTTTTTGGTACTTCAGGTTACTTTGCATTCTAATGTTATAAGGGTGTCATGTTCTTCCTCCCCATTGCATAACCTACCGATTGAGGGGGGAGGTCATCTTTTCATATTCCCTTATAAGGTTGGCGTTTTCTCAGATGCCAGTGGGTTTTACTCTTAATTGAAACGATTTGTTTCCCATTTTGGGTAAGGGGTCATTAATCATGACTTTACTGGGTTTTCCGCCTCTGGACTTCGTCATTGTTTCTTGTCAAACTAATCTGAGATGGAGGAGTATATGATCTTGTTATCCCAAGTGTAGGTTCTGGGCCAACAGGTGGTCTGCCGATCTTCCTCTGGCCTGTTTGTTTACAGAACTCATTTCTATCCCGGCGCAAACGAAATTGTCAGATTACTGTGCTTTCAAAGGGTTTGGAGATTTGTTATGCATTCATATATATAAATTTATTATAATCCAATTGGTTCTCTGACTTTTACACGGTTTAACTGTATCAACGTGTTTGCCAGTTTTTATGATGGTTCTTTAATCATATATTTCTGTATACAGTCAGTATTAATTTTATTTGTGTGGTGTTTAGTGACCGTTAGCCAATGATTATTTGGTGATCGTGGGGTGCGGTCTGGTGTGACGTAGGTTTTTGAAAAACATTTTCGTTATCGTGTCAATACTTCCATCTTTATTGAGATCATCATCAGGGCTTGGGATTTATAAACATTGTTTAAATTAAAAACCAAAACAAATGTATACTAGAATGTGAAAATTTTAGATTAAAAAACAATGAATTTATACAAGTGCCCTCTCAACACTACAGACAAGAATGACACATCTACACGGAAAACAAACCCTTTGGGCCCTGAAGATGATCTCAATAAAGGTCGAAACGTTGGCATGATAAAGAAAATCTTTTCTAAAACCTACGTCACACCAGACCGCACCCCACGATCTCTAAATAATTAATTGTATTACTAACTTTGGCGAGATATTGTCTTCTAAAAACTACAGGAATTTAGGAAGATTTTAAGTTTACCCAATCAGAATTGGGTGTAGATAGCCTAAGGGAAGTGGAATAAACTTTTTTGGTAATACACTAGTTCACTATGTAATTTTTTTAATAAATTAGCGGGCAAGTAAAAAAACATGTGAAAAAGCGAGTTTGAAAAATAAATTACAAGCAATTTCTTAGCTATGAAGTTTTAATTATAGCCGAGGTGAGGGATCGTTGACACATCGATCACATCGCCCAAAGCTAACGGTTTACAGCTTCTCACAGAAATCATATTTTGATCAGAAAATAGGTGGCCAACAGCCATACCACCTGGGCCATAAATTTATGACAATTGTCCCGACTAATGGGATTTGTCTTTTAACGACAAGGGCCCATTAAACTGTTCGATAGTGGTTCTATTTTTATCCCCGGTCCTCCATGGCCCCGGGGAAACAGATGCCAGTAATACCGTCTTTTCTTGAATAATTTACAGCTTCATTGCGGTATAAAATAAAAATAAGAAGACCGGGCTTCTGAAAAAAGATAATGAAACTAAATTGAAGGATAAGATACCACCTTTTCTCAAAAACGTCTCGACTTTTATTCCAGCTCAAAATAATAACACCTGTTTATCCCGATGGACAAATTGGTTTCAATAATCTACATA